ATTAAATTGAAATTGAAATTTATCACCCATATTACTCCATATAATCTTCTATAAATAGCTCAAAACTTTATCATCTCTGACATATTTGACCTCCCTTAGCAGAGGCAACTTTGGAGATAGATTGTATGTCTGAAAATCTCGAAATTCTCTCATCCAGGATTATCATGTGTCTAATGTTAGCTTCTCGAACCCATAACCCATTTGGACAACAAATGTCTGTCCTGCTAATGCTACTCCTATTGTTTGAAAAAAAAGGTTTGTGGCACCGCATCCTCAAACACTATGAATAATATTATCTCTGGCTCACTTCTAGGACAACCAATGATAATCTTATTAGAGACTCTCTCATTGGCTCATTTCTAAACGCTAGTCTCCCTCATCAATCGCATGCTGGTATTTCTCTCTATTCTCCTCTAGGAATTCAACCTTTGCCTCCTCCACGACACCCTGCTCAGTGAAATATATCATTCTCCTGTATGAGCAACCTGATGCAATGTGCCTAAAACCATGAAACCTGAAATACTTCCTAGTTGAGGCAGATTTGGGAATGCTAGAGGTCTCCACCTTGTCTTCACTCTAAATTGATTCTTCCTGTAGTCCACTTTGTGTGGTCCTGTTGCCTGATCCTGGGCTTACGTTGTGCTTGAAGGGAGGTATAGACCCGATCTTGAGGTGTTATTTCTCTACCTATAGAGCTAGGGTTTACACATCATATAAATTCTAATATGGTTGAAACTATACCATGTTATCAATAGACCATCTCAATCTCCCAAAATATCGAGCTATGGTATTCTTCTCGAGTTCCACTAGCACACACTTCAACATAAGCTAATTAAACTCAATTGTGTACTCTACTGATGGATCTTGTTGTTGCAAGTGGTTAAACTTAAAGAACATTTTATGTATGTAATATGTTGAGAGGTACATGCTATATATTTCTCATTTTATGTTGGACCAAGTAGTATTTTTTTTTCTCTCACGATAGTGTAGGCGCCACAATTGTTTTACCACAAAAATGCACACTTCTTTTTCTTGATGGTGGGTTGTTTTGCCCTTCTATCATTTGGAGTATCATTGTACTCAAAAACTCATTCTACCTTCTGAAGTCATTCAATAAACTCGTCTACACATTCACTTTGACTCCAAAATCACCCTCTCCTTCTATACTTGATGCCAAATCAGTGTGGCATCGACTCTTGGTCACTAAGCATCTTAGCAGAAAGAGCATCTATCTCCACTTGGGTGATCACCGTTGTTACTGTGGGTGACTTCCCCATGTTGCCTTCATTCTACAATTGGGTGTGTCTATCTCCACTTGGGTGATCACCGTTGTTACTGTGGGTGACTTCCCTATGTTGCCTTCATTCAAGATCAGCTAGCCTCTGCTACAATTGGATGATTTTTTACTACATTTTTTTATGGTAATTTTTTTAGCACCTTGTTGAGGGTTTCTCCTTGGTGGCATAGCAACTTGTTCTTCCAACCAAAATTCAACCTGGCCCCGATATCAAATGACACCCTTCTAAGTTTCCTGAATAGTGTGATAAAGCACAAAATGTGTTTGAAAAACTGTAGGATTGATTACATAAGTGGGAAGGATGGATAGCATCTTAAAAACAACGGGAATGGCGACAGGACAGCGTATTGGAAGCCAGAAAAGGGTGGCTTCTTGTTGTAGACAACAGATTATAGCATCGTCTATCCTTGCTTGGTTTAAAACAGTGTATAGATGGCTTGTGAGAGGGAAAAGGAGGTGTGAACTCTGCTGTACATTAGATTGGAGGTACCTTGTGGCTGTCTCAGCTGAGTGCTTGGGTCTCACCCAGAAGAAAAGCGGGGGGAAGGGGGTGAGGGTGGGGGGGGGGGGGGGGGGGGTGTTCCACCAACTATTTCAAGGCAAGCTACAGGCAGACCACTTGCAATAGGAATAGGGTACAACACTCCGGAGAGAAAAATTCAGAGAGAGATCTCTCAGCATTTAGAAACTCAGCAAAAACTACATCCCAAAACCACCTACAACAAATAAAAAATATCCTCACAGAAAAATACATATTTGAAAAATAAGAAAATAGTAAAGGACTAGAATGGAAGAAAAGGAAAGAAGGAAACTTGCTAAAACTGAAATAAGTAATTAGAAAAAAAGGGAACTAATTCACTAGATCGCGAGATACGGATGCCGCGATACCTGAGGACCACAGAACCTTGCGGAAACAAGAATGCGAGACACCACATAAGCTCCGACCACAATTAACTTAGACTCACTACCTTCTAGGATAATCAATACTAATCCTGTAGTAGTTTGTCTCATGAGCTCAGCTTAATCACAAACAATTCTTCCTCTTTGGGGAAAAAGAGATACTCCTCTCCATTCTCCTCCTTCAGGTCACCACCCTCTGCCTCCTCCACAGCTCCCTGTTAAGTGATGGATATCAATCTTCTGTTTTGTCAATCAGACGTAATGTGCCAAAAATCATGACACTTAAAACACTTCCTGACTAAGACAGATGGATTTAGGAGTGCTAGAGGTCTCCATTTTATCTCCAATCTGAAATGATTTTTCTCTAGCAAGGTAAGCTGCAATGCTTCAGTTTGTAATCCTATTGCTTGATCATAGAGTTGAACTGTGCTGAAAGGTGTTGTGGACTAGATATTGCGGTGTTGTCTCTCCACCTCAGACCTATGGTTGAAACATCCTGCAATGACCAATAAGATTGCAACTGTAGCACATTGCCAATAGCAGTCTCAACCCCCCAAGATGTCGAGCTATGGTATTCTTCTCAAGCCCCACTACCTCACACTTCAACAAAAACAGTATGATACGGACGGCGAAGAGGTTTCACCATGTGCTCCTAAGCAATATATTGATACACCACTTTTAAATGGAAGATGATACAGCACCTCAAAGAGTAAAATTCAGAGAAATGTATAACCTAACTCATAAAAAGAAAATTAAAGAAATAAAAAATAAACAAATAGGAAAATAAAAAAATAATAATAACAAATACATATAGCATATATAAATACTAACACACTTATTCATTGAAATAAATAAGTATAAAAAATGTTATCAAATCAATGGTCATATTCACTAATAACATTTTACTTAAATTAAAAAAAAAAACTAAAAGAAAAAAATATATATAAATATACCTATATAAGAAACATTCAATAGTAAACAAGCTAATACCAATTTCTTAGTTGTTAAAATTTGAAGCCCTCTCTAGTCTTGAAGGTTTGACCTCTTATCCTTTAAAGCTAAGGTAAAGTACACATAGACCGTTAGCTAATGCATCAAATGTAGAAGGGTTGAGAAAGAGAAAAATAAAATATGTGCTCATATCTTGCAGATGCACTTGTGTGAATCATAACCATGGTATATTTTTGCCCAAGTAAGGGAGCTTGGAAGCCTGGTTAGACTTAGAGCTCATGTGGAACAAATGATGAAGTTATGCAAAATGATACATAAGAATTGAAAAGGTACCTTACACTAATAAATAAATATATAGTACATTGCTACTAAGTAATTAAATTAATATTTCACCATATTTTAATTAAATTATATATAAGTTATCATCGAGTATAAGGCCATACTATTAATAAATTATTTGCTGAAAAACTAACAAGCTTGTTTGGAAATATTAATAACCAACTTGGATAGAGTTCAACCTTGAATCATTAAAACTTCAATTTTTTTTTAAAAATAGTTAAAATTGGTTTATATACGAAGTTGAAAAAATGCCGATTGTTAAGTTATTCCAAGAGTGCATTGGTCCAGCCCAAGATTTTACATGTTTTAAAAAATATATTAAATCCTTTATTTCATACTTTGCAAATTATGATATCAAGATTAATTCAAAATTTAATGTCTATCCAGATCATCAAATGTTTTCAAAGACTTTAATCTACACGGTGTTTTAAATTACATGAATCAATATTAATATTGCATGTTATAAATCAAATAATAAAATGTGGTGAGAAGAAGATTAAATAATAGAAGACAAATAAGTTATTATATGTATTTATTCTTCTTCTCACAGTTTATTTATTGAAACTCTATAGTGCGTGTTTGAGTGCGATGATGTTAGTGATGTAAATGAGCTAAAAAGGCTCGAGCTTAACTCATTAACTCATTAATACTAATGAGTTAGGGTTATTAAGCTATGTGGTCAAGATAAACTCATAAATGAGCTCGAGTTCAAGCTACAAATGATATCTAGCACAATTGCCAATTCAACTCAATTATGCAAAACTTTATAAGATGATATCAAAAGTCTGATTTTTAATAATACATTTGAAAGAAAATAAAAAAAAAATACTAATCATTGTATTTCTTTCAACATTTTCTTAAATCATGACCTTCACATCTTCTGCCAACTTGTTCCTCTTCTCCAGCTCCTCTATCTAGCCTAGAATAGCTTAGCTTCCTTTACCACTATTGATTACTACTTTTCCATATTCAACATCAATGCTATCATTAGCGTTGATCCCACCATAGATGCCTTGTTATCAATACCTTCACTATTGTGAATGACTACTTCAGTCTTCAAAAGTGAGGCTTATCTCACTCTTTCTCACTTCTCTCCTTTCTGAACAAGCCTGAAAGTCATATCACTCTTCACATTCCTCGTTGTATAGAGAATAAGCTTGTATGCAAAAATAGTTGAATTTAACGAGTAGCTCCTAGAGCTTAACCAAGGCCGTAATTTCAGTAGACTCAAGTGCAAAAATCATTGTAGACAATCTTCAAACATGCATGCAAGCACAAACCAATATGAATCTACATTTTAACTTTAAAGCACTCAAGTATAAATCATTTAAAGTCAGAAAAAACAAATAAAAAATAATAAGTTTTTAGGCCTGAGTGAGAACAAACAGCAATATTCGTCCGACAAGAAACTTTAAAGGTTACATATTAATCAGTCACTTGTAACAACATGTATCACGTCTAATAAGTCTATTTACTATATTATAATACATGCAACCAGAAAAAGGTATGATACCTGCGGAAGAGGAAGGACAGCAAGTATATCGATAAAAAAGTATGATGACAAATATCTTCTTGCTATTGCCGCAGAATCTTCAACCAAAACACCTCTTCCAAAAACTCGAGATGAAGGAGCGATGAAACCAGTTCTAAATTGAAAAATAATATGGATAATATAAAATATATCTGTGAAAGAGCGCAGCACACTTGCAGTGATTTCTAATTTTTTGTCCAGATCAAGACAATTATTATTATCATCAACTATCGGTATATAAAAGAAAAGGGGATCCACAGATACTGCAATCACACAGGAAAGGACAAATATTTTGTTCCACCTTTGAAGAAATGTTCCTTGAGGGTCAAGTACTTTTTTCCTGGACTGTGGTTCCTCTAGAGCAAAATCATTCATAGACTTGTCATGAGAAATATTTCTTACTGCTTCATATATAAATTGAAATAATCTTTGAAAAATTTTCACTATCCAACTGAATTTCTTTCCTTTTCCAACTGAAGTGATCTTTCCTGTAATCAAGGCTCTCCCAGAATTTAAGTCCTGATACCTGCACATGTTGGAAAGGTGAAAATGCATTCTGCGCCTTAGGAGGAAAACACAAGGTACAAAGTCATAATTACCAAAATATCACTGCCCAGAAAAACACTCCATTCAACAGCAACAAACTTGCATCCAAAAGCAACTAGTTGAGAGGAGAATTTAAAACGAAATTTACATTGCATGCAATGGAAGAAGCATAAAACAATATGATCAAACATAGTAGCCCAATAGATGAAAGAAGAAAATTGAACATACAAAGGCAGCCCAAAGTTTCAAAAATTCCATGAGCATAACCAAAAAAGTGGATGAAAATTCTTCACGAAGAGTAAATCTTTCAATGCCATGCTCCTAGTAAAATAGCATCCAAAGAGAACAATGTTTTTAGTTATGAACTGTGTCAGATCCACATTGATAGTCATATGTACTTCAATACGATCAGAAGTAAATAGTCCAGCTTTTTTACACATACATGTTTAAAAGGATACCAAGAATGGAAACGGTATTTAACAGTCAACTTCTAATGGAAAGATGAATAGAATCAGCTATGACCACTTCCTATTTATTTCTCAAAGTATGTCAAGTGTCATTTTTTTATTCAAGGCAAGGTGAGCATTCAAACCCGGACTTTTTGGATTCTTTATTTTATTTCCAACCAATATACTAAAGATTTGAGCACCCAAATTCCTATTTTAAGCACATTTCTCCTCCTGCTCTTGATCAGGCATGATCCCTAGCACATTTTAGAAGATTGCCAAGACCTCTTCCACTCAAAGAAAAGTCAAACGTCCCAAAAAACTATGAATTACTAGCATTGATTTTAGCACAATTTAGAAGCATTGAGGATGATTTTAAAATGAAAAAAAAACAATCCAAAAATCCCATAAAAATAGGCTTCCACTTGAAGACGAGTCAGACATCCAAAAAAAATATAAATTACCAAAAGAGTACAGATTTTAATGCATTAAGAAGAAAATTTAAATAAAAAATAGCCTAAAAAAGACCAAAATCTTAGGCCATTATTAGAGTCTCTGGCTTGCATTGAACTAAAAGCTATCATTTCAAAACAAAAAAAAGGGTCAATAACTAAAATTTAAGAAATTTAGTTGACTTTAATTTTGATCCAACTTTGATCTCCTTGAATCATGTATGTTAATTTCACAATTTGTTAATTTAAGTTAAGGTTGATAGCTCGAATTTAGGAATAATTGATTATTTCTATGCATCCTTAGCCTTCTAAATAGGTATAAATTGAGATATGGTAATTCATATCACACATCTATAAATAGGGAAAAGAATTTTGAAATCCAGTTAGTTTTGGATCGAAGAGACTGCAAATTACAATTTCTCTCCGTGAATTTCTCTAGTAAAAACATCTGCATTTCTGGGTTAGCGCAATCCATCTCTCCATAAAGAAGAACCTTCTTCCAATTTTGCTCCTTAAGCATTATCAGGTTCACAAAACTTAAGATCGTAGTTAACTTCACACACACAATTGAGCTTAAGGATAATAAACTCGACTCATTAATCTCATTAATCTCCCCAAATGATGCCTCTATATAACTTCCTAAGATAGAAAAAACCACTTTTATGGCCACATGGCCTCGTCATATGTCAAGCTGCCAGCTATGTTGTCGCCAATGACTAGTTGAGATGGCATTACTATTAATGAGCTTTGTTAATCGTTAATGACCCGAGAGTTACAAAGACTATAAACAAACATATCTAGCCCCCAAGATAGCATTATCATGGGTCGCTTGCTCAACTACTTTAAATTGCCCAGTCCCTAAAAAAAAGTTTGAACTATTATATCACTACGTGATCTTAAACTACTCAATCCTCACAAGAATGTAAACTACCAATCCATGCAAATCCTTAAACTACATGCACCTTGTCACCAACTAAGTCGTCAGTTCTTGGAAAATATTAAAATGGCAAGAGCTAAAATTACTCCTGCTTTGTCATCAACTCAAAAAACCGTCAGCACAAGCAGGCCTAAAATTAAAAATCACAATAGCTTGAATATCTTAAAACTATCTAAATTCTTACGAGACTACAAACTACTGTCGATATAGCACGTACACTATCAAATGCTTATGCCCGCACACTGAAAATCATGCATATTATTAGAATTATTACATGTTATTAGCTTTTATTCCCTCATTATTTCTTTTCTATTTATTTTATTCTGATTTATTTCTTTCTTATTTGTTTTATTTTGTTTTTATTTCTTTCCTTTATTGTATCCATTATAATTGGGTTTAAATATCCTCCTTCTATCAATAATATTACGCTATTCTTATCACAAATTCAACATGGTATCAGAGACATGACTCTAACCCTAGAAGTTCCATCCCATCCTTCGGCCACCTGCAGGTCTTCTCCTACAGAATTCTTGCCGGCAGCAACCTACCACTCAAACCTTCCAGCCGCTGATCCCAGCATCCCTTCCAGCGAGCCCAAATCTCTTCACGGTGTGAATCTTCCTGTCGCTTCATCCCTTCCAGCCGCTGAGTTGTAGGAGATGTGTTGAAGTTCATCTTCTTGTGGCTTTTCTAGCAAACCTTCCTATAGATCTTCATGTCGTTGATCCTAGCAGCTGCTCTAGTCGGCCTTCCTACAAGCTTTCTTGCGAACCGCAAGGGCCTTCTGTTCCAGCCGCAAGTTCAAGCAAACAACTAGCCTTCCTACTACCTGCAGTTTTTTCCCGCAACCCTACCAAAATCCATTGATGGATCAAAATCTCAACATCTACTTTAGCTAAGTTGAAATTATAGCGGATTCCTCATACTCTGAACCACTTTCAAAAGGTATTCTTGATTCAATCGGAGGATCAAGTCCAATTTCTGTAACCTTGCAGACCGGAGGATCGAAAACCAACATGAATTTCTTAATCATAACCCATAAACTGAACGACATAACTTTCCCAATGGTCTCAAGCAGTGTTGTTGTTCATCAAAAAATGTGAGAAGTTTAGTTACCTCACTGGTATGGTTCGTGAGCCTCCAATGACTGACCCGACATATGGAGCTTGGGAAGTGGAGAACTCCATGGTCTTGTCATGGCTGATTAACTCCATAGAGACTTCTATCAATCATTCCTATATGTTCCTCCCTTTAGCTAGTGCTCTTTGGATAGTTGTCCCTGATACCTACTCAACAACAACAACAAAGCCTTTATCCCAATAAGTGGGGTCGGCTGATGAATCCCTGATACCTACTCGAATTTAGAAAATTTCGACCAACTCTATGAGGCATCTAAAATAATCTGAGAGGCAAAACAGGGATCAAGGACCATGACCCAGTACTATAATGATCTTGTTGCACTATGGATGTAATGCGACCTTAACAGTTCCAATCAAAATTGTCATTCGGGGAGGGTGATTGGAACTGTTAAGAGGGTAACTGGACTCTACTACTTCCGTGTGAGGAGCCCGAAGAGTGAGGATACGCCATTAAGAAGTTATAACTTATATCGAGTCATTGAGTATCTCATTATGTTGTTGCATTATCGTTTGGGTCATTCTAATTTTCAATATTATGAAAACTTTGTATCCTTTGATGTTTTATAATATTTAAAAATTTTTTTAACTTCAATTGAGAGACATGTTAGTTAACCAAGCATCATCGACTCCATTATCCACCACACACTTACACACCTTCACACCTTCACACCTTCGCTCATTTCTCCCCAATTCACAATGGCATATGGGGACCCTCTCACACTTCTAGCTACACCAATAAATGCTAGTTCATGACCTTGATTGATGATCACTTAAATGATATGGGTCTACATTTTAAAAGACAAATCAGAAATTGGCATCACCTTCCAAAACTTCTATAACTTTATTTTAACTCAATTTAAAACTCTTATTCAAGTCCTTCGGACAGACAAAGGCTGAGAGTTTTTCAACTCTACTTTGGGTTAATTCTTGGTAAGTAAGGGCATTCTCCACCATAGCTCTTGTACGGACACACAACAAAATAGGGTAGTCGAAAAATCGTTGTCACCTCGACATTGCTCAATCCATTATGTTTCGATCCAATGTCCCAAAACGGTTTTTGAACAATGTCATTCTAACTACCACCTATCTTATAAAAAGAGTTCCTTCTAAAATTCACTAGTTATAAACCCTCTTAGTCGTCTTGATGTCATACTCCCCTACCAATCGGGTTTTCTACACATTATCCCAAAATTTTTGAATGCACGACCTTTGTTCGGAACACTGGCCCCACTTGGAGTAAACTTGTTCCCATATCCATAAAATATACCTTCCTTTGGTACTCCACAATTCAAAAGGGATATTGGCGTATTGATCACACCCCCAACAAAATCTAAGTGAGTGTTTGTCTCCTTCTTTGAAATTGTTCTCTATTTCTCTAACTCGGCCTCAAGTGAGGAGGAGCTCCAGTTCTCTGACACTACCTTTTATCCTACTCCTTTGGATGTTCCCCCATTATTCCTACCACTGAGGAATCTCTTTTTCCGTCGAGTACACCGTATCCTACTCCCATTGTTTGTGTCTACACTCGGCGCACCCGTCCCAAGGCATCTACTCAAGAGTCCAATAACTCCTTTCAGGACCTTAACTCCATTCTGAGCGACATCCTCAATACGCCCGCTCCTCCAACTGGGGAGGTGAGTTCTCTAAGGTACGCAAACAGACATGCTTCCTTTATTCTATGGCAAAGTATGTCTCTTTCTAGAGTTTATCGCCCTCCTATAAAGAATTTGCTACTGCCCTAACGAACCATCAAATCTTTGCCACTATTAAGGTTGCTTTTGCAGATCCAGCCAGAAAAACAGCAGTAATGGAGGAGATTAATGTCCTTCAGTAGAATAATACATGAGACGTCGTCAATCTTCCTCAGGGTAAGAAAGTCGTAGGGTGTTGATGGATTTTCAACACCAAGTTCAACTTTGATGAATCCTTTAAATGCAACAAGGCATGATTGGTCGCAAAAGAGTGCTTAAAGACATACGGAGTTGACTATGAGTTGACATTTGCTT